AAGACGCTAATGTCCGAGTAGTCCTGCAGATTGGATATCAGGTAGTTGGTCAGCTCGTTCAGGCGAGAGCAGACTGAGCTAGACAACTGCTCGCCCGCTTCGTCAAAAGTGAAGGCCAACTTGAAGGGCACAAGAGAGGGGTTCAGTTTGAGAATCTGCTTGGCAAAAAAGAACCAAACGTTAGCTTAGAAAATGAAACACTTTTGAGGGCTTACGATTTGCTCCGATTGACCACCCCCATCTTCAACTGAAGTGTAGGCGTCATCGAGAAAGGCACCCAGGACGTTGTCCAGATTGGACCGGCAGATGATAATGTCGCGCCGACCGTCGCCGGCGATTGCCGCTGCTGCTGTTGCTGTTGAAGACCCTTTATCTTCTTGAGTGCTGTTGTTGAGAATGATACTGTCCAGTTGAATGTCTCCCCCGTCCACTTGAAGTTGCTTCGGCTGGTAGACGATGTTGATGCGGTTGCTGCTTTTCGAACCTTCCTCCTCAACCATGCTCAACTTGAAACCCGAATTAAGTGGTGACTTTGAAAGCCGCCGGTACCAGTGGTGGCGTTGTCGGGTGAGGGCCGTCTGCAGCTGCAGCGTTTCCTCCTTGGCAGAGCACAGCACCAGAGAGATGCCATCGTAGAAGGGAGATTCGGTGAGCCAGGGAAACTGGCCTCTTCCTTCTGCTGATGACCGGTTCTTCTCCACAGAGTACCGGTGGACGATGCCAAAGGTGGAGCGGTCGCCGATCCACTGCGCAATGCCATTTGAGTAGTAGTTGGTGGCCGCTGTAGTAAATCGAAGATGTTTTAAAAGATTGTTGAAAAAACGATTGAATCCTACTTTCAATATCATTCTGGTGTAAAGACTTGGCGTTGATGACACCACCACCACCTCCTCCTCCATTCGACCTCCAAACTCGGTTGTCAATGGTGAACACCCTCGTTGGACATAGGGAATTTGACAGCTTGCACCTGAGGGAAAAGAAAATGCGTAAAACCTACAAACCAATCTCACACCACCACCACAGCACTTACCACTCTCTGACAATGTTGCTCATCAGCTGCTCCCGACAGAAGGGCACCAGCCGGTGGGCGACAAAGTGGTCGAGCTTCATTTTGCGGCTGATTTTTGTTCCAAGATTTGGAGGTTCTTTGGCAGTTGCCGCTAGAAGAAGAGTGCGCGAAAATCAAAACAAAAACATGTGTGATAAGCTGTGGGCCATTCGCAGATAGAGTAGTGGGGCACCAACGTTGGCAAATCGAAGCAGCTGCTGCTTTGTTGCCTGCCGCTACTGCCGCAGTTGACCAGCTCTCTCGATGCCGAACTCCACGCAACTTGAGCTTCTTCTTTCCGTGGACTTTTTCTCCGCCCAACGACCTTCCTGCTTTCCGGAAACTCTGGCTCAGACGCCTTTACAGAGCTGACAACATTACTTAGATAAAGCCTTTAGAAGAAGTAGAGATTCACCACTCAATCGCCTATGAGGTAAATGTGTTTACAAGTGTGTGTTGACGTTTTCTGTACCGGTTCTAATATTATTTCATTTCATTACAGTAGGAAAATTATACTCTAATCTGACAACAAATAGTAAAAGATAAAGATGAAGTTAGTGAAAAAGTACATCGACTACAAGACCAAAGAGGGGTAAGTGTGCGGCTGTCCGGCTTCCAACTTTTACCTCTCACTCTTTTCATTGATGATGATCGTTATCAATTTTGAGCCTAAAACTTGGCTCATTTTGTACTTTTGATCAATAAGTGCATCAATGTCTCAAACTTAGACTTTCAGTCCTTTTACACGACAATAATTTTCANGATGATCGTTATCAATTTTGAGCCTAAAACTTGGCTCATTTTGTACTTTTGATCAATAAGTGCATCAATGTCTCAAACTTAGACTTTCAGTCCTTTTACACGACAATAATTTTCACACACACAACGTCATCGTCATCTTCGTCGTCGTTAAGCAAGAAAGAGGCCCCAACATTCATCTTCATCTGACAAGGTTAACTAGTTTTGTTTTGGGGTGAACATTAGCACAAAAAAGGCCTGCAAAAGATTTGTCGCTTCAACTTGAGACTCTCGATCATCTGTCAAGCTCTACCGACGCCTGCTTGAGTAAAAGCCGCCGACTCTTTTCCCATTTACAAGACGCCTCTCACTGCTTTCTCTTCCTGTGTTTGTGATTGAAAGAGACAGAGTTCCACCGCTGCCACCATCACAAAGAGTGGTCAAAATCTAGGTCAAAATCTAGCCAGTTCCAATGTCACAACCACCATCAACGACGAGGAGATAACAAGGAAGCTCTTTTCTCCTTTTCTCTCTCACTGTTTCCATGTTTGCATGTGTTGCAACATTGGCACCAACACAGTCGACGACGACAACGAGTGGCCAACGCAATCTCTCTCCAACGCTTCTCTCGCTTCAGGCCACTCGTGCGCATGATTGTTTTCTCTTGGCCACCACCACTGCCACCATCAACACACTCCACTGATACTCACACATTTGTGTTTTCATTTCACTTCTCCTGAGCTCACCACTCTCCTCGTTCGCCTGCCTCTCCTCGTGTCTCTCGAGGTTTCTATCTGTCCAGCGATCACCCAGCACACACTTACTCTGACCATCAAGTTTGCCTCTTCAAGTGGCTCTTCTTTCCGTTTTCTATCGTCTTTGTCCCATCCTTCAAGATCATAGTGTGTAAATTCACCCGAACCAAGTTTCCTGGTTTTCATCAGTTTCAGTCAGCTTACAAGTTCAGACCAAACACAGTTTTTGCCTCAGCCTCCTCCTTCTACAGCCTGAGCTTTGATTACGACGTACGATTACGAGACGCGAACGGCGCTCTGACGGACAACCTTGATTTGTAACCGCAGCAGCAGCAGCAGTACAACAGCAGCAGCCTCCGCCGCCGCCGCCGTTTTCACACACGAAAGATGGAAGTGGAAGCGCTCGACACGGCCGATCCGAGCGTCGAGGACGTGGAGGGTGACCCGTTCCTTCAGCACCATCCCTCCTCGGGTCGAAGTCGGTCACTCTCGGAGAGCAATGACTGCACCAGTGGTGGTGGCAAATCGAAGCTCTACGGCCACCGCGGGTCCACCTCCTCTTCGCTCTCCTGGAACAGCAGCCAGCAGCTGGAGACGATGTACAAGATGCGACCAGTGCTGTGCGACGTCTGCCTCCGCGCCGACGACGGCCACAAGGTCTACGGCCACCGAATAGTGCTCGCCTCGGCCATGCACTACTTTAGCTCGATGTTCATCGGATGTACGGCAGTGGGAACCACCACCACCACCACCACTGCCACCGACTGCTACGCCTCAATGGAGACGGACACAAATGGAGGAGCAGGTGACCAGCCCGATTACTGGGGACCAAGTACATCTTCAGCCACAGCACTGACACAGCTCGCTGTGCCCTCCACCTCCACCTCCTCAGCAATGGCAGTACATCCGCCACCGACGACCATTCTCCCCAGCAACTCCTTCGTCGAGCAGCAGCAGTTTGAGATCGCCATCCACAACGTGGACGGGCGGTCGCTGGAGGAGCTGATCAAGTACTGCTACCTGGGCACGGTGGCCATCAGCGAGGAGACGGTGCAGTCGCTGCTGGCCGCCGCCACCATGCTCGCCGCCACCGACGTCATTGCCCTCTGCGCCGACTACCTGCGCGTCCGCCTGCAGGCGGCCAACGCCCTCGGCATTCACCAGTTTGCCGAGCTGGTCGGCTGCCTCGAGCTGAAGGAGGCCGCCTTTGGGTACATTCTCAACCACTTTGTCCGCATCTCATCCTCCTCCTCATCGAATGATGGAACATCAACATCATCAGCAGTGAACGAGGAGTTCCTGGCGCTGACGCCCGACCGCCTAGCGGAGATTCTCTCCTCCGACCACCTGGACACGGGCGAGGCGGGCGAACCGGAGGTGCTCCGCGCCCTGAACACCTGGATCGCAGCGGACCCAGACCGCCGCCGGCCCTTCCTCCCGCAGCTGATCAAGCACATTCGCTTTCCAAAGTTCAGCCAGGAGGCGCTGATCTGCATCGAGGCGGAGTACCCGCTGCTGCGGCCGGAGCCGGCGCTGAAGGACCTGCTGATTGAGGCGATGCGCTTTCACCTCTGCAAGAACTCCACCGCCACCGGCCATCACCACTTTAACCACCACCTGCAGTTTAGCAGCCAGCGAATGTTCTCCGACTCGCTGCGACTCAGCAATCTCTGCTCAGGGGGCGGGGAAGCGGGGAAATTGGATGCTCCAACGCAAAACCCGAACCAGTCCTCCTCTTCCTCCTCTTCACCTTCTGCTTCCACTTCCTCAGCCACTGCCACCACTTCTTCGTGGACGCCCTCTCTCCCGCCAAATCTCCCGCAGATGTTTGACCTGACCAACGCCCGCTTCCGCGAGCGCATTCCCCGCATTCGCCAGAAGTGCCTGCTGGTGGTGGGCGGACAGGCGCCGAAGGCGATTCGCCAGTGCGAGTACCTCGACTTTGGCCGCTGCAAGTGGGCGGAGCTGCCGCCGGGCGGGGAGCTGCCCTCGCGGCGCTGTCGCTCCGGCATTGCCGTCCTCAACGGCCTCATCTACGCCATTGGCGGCTTCAACGGGCAGATTCGCGTCCGCACGGTGGACGTCTACGACCCGAAGCTGAACAGCTGGACGCAGGCGGCCAGCCTGGAGGCGCGCCGGTCGACGCTCGGAGCCGCCGTCCTCAACGGCCTCCTCTACGCCGTGGGCGGCTTTGACGGGACCATTGGGCTGCAGTCGGCGGAGGTGTACAGTCCGCTGGCGCGCAGCTGGCGGCCCATTGCCTCCATGTCGACGCGCCGCTCCTCGGTGGCGGTGGCCGCCCTCGGGGGCCTGCTCTACGCCGTGGGCGGCTACGACGGCGCCAGCCGCCAGTGCCTTGCCTCGGTGGAGGCCTACTGCCCGGCGACGGACAGCTGGCGGGCGGTGGCGGACATGTCGCAGCGGAGGAGCGGCGCCGGCGTGGGCGTGCTCGAAGGCCGCCGCCTCTATGCGATTGGCGGGCACGACGGGCCGGCGGTGCGCAAGAGCGTGGAGTGCTTTGACGCAGAGACCGGGGCCTGGTCGCAGTGCGCGGACATGGTCGTGGCGAGGCGCAATGCCGGCGTGGTGGTCCGCGAGGGCAAGCTCTACGTGGTGGGCGGCGATGACGGGCAGAGCAACCTGGCCACCGTGGAGGTGTACGACCCGAAGGCCAATCAGTGGACGCTCCTGCCGACGGCGATGAGCATTGGGCGGAGCTACGCGGGCGTCGTCCTCGTCGACAAGACCTGGTCGCAGTGAACTAGAGAAAAAGAGAGAGATAGGAGTTTTCCCACCNACGCTCCTGCCGACGGCGATGAGCATTGGGCGGAGCTACGCGGGCGTCGTCCTCGTCGACAAGACCTGGTCGCAGTGAACTAGAGAAAAAAGAGAGATAGGAGTTTTCCCACTACCACCACCACTACCACTTCTTCTGTGATACCAGTGAATAATGTGCGCTTTCTCTTGTTTTAATATGTTCTTTGATCACCCACAACTTTTTGTCTTTTTCCCACTTTACCTGACTGATTTCACACTACTACCACAGTGCGCAACTTAGTGTTTACACTGAATAGGATTCAACCGTCTCAAACCAGCAAGCCAGCAATAACACAAGAATACCGTCTCTTGAGGAGCACATCTTTTATACCTTTTTTACACTCACACCAAATGTACTCGCACACATACCCCCCTTTATTTTATTTCTACTACGAGCCAGCAATAATATATCACTTTGGAATGATTTTTTAAGATTCTAATCTTTTTGGTATCTTTAGGTATGTCGTCCTCATACCGGAAGAGGACGAGGACATGTGGCACGTCTACAACCTCCTGCAGGAAGGGGACAGTCTGCGGGCGAGTACCCTTCGAAAGGTGGTCACCGAGTCGGGAACGGGCACGACGGCGGCTAACAAGGTGCGCACCATGCTCACAATCGCCATCGAGAGCATCGACTACGACTTTGAGGGCTGTCTGCTGCGGGTGAAGGGGAAGAATGTGGAGGAGAACCAGTACGTGAAACTGGGGCAGTACCACACCATCGACATTGAGTTGAATCGGAAGTTTACGCTGAAGAAGGAGGAGTGGGACCTCTACTCGATGCACCGTCTCGAGTTGGCCTGTGATCCCAGCAAGAGCGCCGACCTGGCCGCCATTGTCATGGATGAAGGTAAGAAGTTTTGTTGATTGATTTTTAGTGTTTTTAAAACTTTTCTCTCCAGGAATCGCCCACGTCTGTCTGGTGATGCCGTCGATGACGCTGGTGCGCTCCAAGATTGACATGCACATTCCGCGAAAGAGGAAGGGCCACTGCGATCAGCACGACAAGGGCATGGACAAGTTCTTTGAGCAGGTGATTCAGGCGCTGCTGCGACATGTCGACTTTGAGGGTAAAGACATTTTGTTTGCTTTCTAGACTTTTGTTTACTAATCTTTCCATTTCCTCCCCACAGTAGTCAAGTGCATCCTCATTGCCAGCCCTGGCTTCGTCAAGGACCGCTTCTTCACGTACCTGATGGCGCAGGCGGCGAAGACGGACAACAAGACGCTGCTGGACAATCGGGCCAAGTTTGTTCTCTGCCATGCCAGTTCTGGCTTCAAGCACTCGCTGCGAGAGGTGCTCGCCGATCCGCTGCTGCAGAGTCGCCTCTCTGATACAAAGGCCGCCGAGGAGGTGAAAGCGTTGGCCGCCTTTCACACCATGCTCGCCCTCGACCCGTCGAAAGCTTTCTACGGGCCGAATCACGTGGAAAAGGCGGCGGAGGCGCAGGCGATTGAGACGCTGCTCATCTCAGATCGGCTCTTTCGCGTGAAGAACATTGAGAAGCGGAGGCGGTTCATCCGCCTGGTGGAGAGTGTCAGGGAGTTTGGCGGCGACGTGAAGATCTTTAGCAGTCTGCACGTGTCTGGAGAGCGTGAGTAGAAATTGTGTGGAAGTTTTCGAACTTTTTTCAGGACTAACTTTTCTCTTTTTTCGAAATAGAACTTGATCAGCTTACGGGCATTGCCGCCATTCTTCGCTTTCCCATTGCCGATCTGGATGATGAGGAGCTGGAGGATGAGGAGGAGGAAGATGGTGGTGCTGATGCTCAGGGCGGGGAAGAGGGGGCGAAATAATGGACGACGACTATTTATCTGTTTTCCTTTTCTTACTAGGTTTATCATTTTCTGTTATGTTCTAGGACTAGGATAACCACTCTTGTGTATGTACTCAACTTGCGCGCTAATCTCCTTTTCTTTTCTATTTACAATTTTCAACTTTCTAACTTTAAAATATTTACGCTTCAAGCTTGAATTATACAAAAATTTAAAGTTCACTTGAGGACATCTTCTTTTGATAAGGGGGCAAAAACCCGTTTTTCAGGTGATGTCATTCAGGCAACTCTTTAGCCAGTAGTGTTCCTTTTTATCGCACAGATTAATCTCTCTCGTCAATTGGTCGTGTTAATGGCCCATTAGCTGAATGAGTGGATAAACGCTTGACAAATATTGACCGGCGATATCGGAGGTTAATGGGAGCTGTGATAAGATCACATTTTTTCTTTAAATCTCAGGGGCTGTTCTTGTGTTTGCAAAAAAAACCATTAAGTTGGTTGTTTCCTCTCGATTCAGCTGCAATAATATTCATCTCTCAGAATCATCACCTAATCATCTAAATGACATCTCAATTGGAAGCAGTTATTGCGAGCAATTAAGCGAGTGGTTTGTCATCGGGGTATCAAGTCGCGTGATTTAGGAGGTCGTTCTAGTGGTGAAAGTGAAAGCCTAGGATGACCCCTCTGAACNGTGGTTTGTCATCGGGGTATCAAGTCGCGTGATTTAGGAGGTCGTTCTAGTGGTGAAAGTGAAAACCTCTAGGATGACCCCTCTGAACGTTGGGCGAGTTTATTATAAAAGCAGGCAAATCACCAAACTTGTCATCATTCAGTCACCATGGCAAACACTTGCCACCTGCTTCTGTTGATCTCCCTCTTCTTCTTCTTGGGCTCAGCATTACTCCTTCACACTTCAGCTGAACCTGCATCCAAACTGCAACTGTCAACTCCGATTCGCCTGAAACGATCGCTAGCTCCTTTCAGCCAACAAGCAGAAGATGGAACTCAGCAGGAAGAAGATGAGCAGAGCATCATCGATGGCCAGAAACCGGATGAGGGGGAAGATAATGGAAATAGTGAAACGGGAAACTCAAACTCTTCCTCTTCTAACAACGACTTCCTCAATCGAGCAGACTGCGGACTAGGCCGTTTTGCCGCCCAGGACGCGCAGCGCATCGTCGGCGGTCGACCTGCTTCACTTGGTCAGTAAGTAATCGGGAGTTTTGTTTGTTTTGTTTTGAAAACTCAGATTTTTCACTTTTCATTTGATAAAGATTTCCCTGGCAAGTGTACCTTCGCATTACCACGCCCGGCGGAGAGATGCTCTGCGGCGGGTCGATCATCACGCCCAATTGGATTCTGACTGCTGCTCATTGGTAAGCTCATTTTGCTGAAAATTTTATCTGGAATCTAATTCATTCAATTCTTTGCTTTTGTAGCATTTCTTCCGAGCAGACCGGTCAGTACCACGCGACGGCCGTCGAGGTGGTCGCCGGTGCGCTGAACCGCTTCACCAGTGAGTCTAGCAGGCAATCGCGAAATGCCGACTGTGCTCTCAAGGTACTTTCTTTTTATTTTTTGTGTTAAAAACTTTCTAACCCAAACATCCAATTCCAGCACCCCAAGTGGACGGGAGTACGCGGTGGCTTTGCCAACGACATTGCCCTCATTCGCGTGCCCACCAACCGACCCTTCAACTTAAATGGCGCCCAGGTGAAGGCCATTTGCCTGCCACCCAAGCGGGAGCCACCCTTTGACTACACCGGCATTGCCCGAGTCGCCGGCTGGGGCCTCACCCGAGATCGAGGGTCGCCCTCGCGAACGCTGCAGTTCACTGATGTGAGCATCATCTCGGACAAGTAAAAGTCAAATTTATGGGGGAAAACCATTTTATGACTGAACCTTGATCATATTTTCCAGCAAGTGCCGCCAGTACCCGTACCCGGTGAACATACTCAACTCAATGGCCTGCCAGGGCGTGGACACCAGCTCGCCCTGTCAGGGTGATTCGGGTAATTTTTTGTGCTCTGCTTTCTATGAGATTGAATCTCTAATTGAAACTTTTTTTTTCAGGCGGCCCGCTGGTGATTCGCAGCGCCGGCAACCCGAATCGGTACCTCCAGTTTGGCCTGGTCTCCTTCGGCCCTGGCATCTGCAACAACGGTCGTATTCCGAATGCCGTCTTCACACAGGTCTCCTACCACCTGACGTGGATTGAGAACACCATTCGGGCGTACGAGGGACAGCAGGGCAGGTCATGCTCGTCGCGGAACATTATCGTCGACAGCTATTGATGATGAGCAATCTTTTTTAATGTTGAGAATAAATAAATAAGTTACACCGAAGTTTGATTTCCACTGATTGTTTGAAATTTACGTCCACCGCCTATGTAGCAAGCAGAATCCAGTGGAGACCAGTTTTGAAGAACAGAAAAAGTTGAAGCTACTCCGCCGACAACTCCGGAGATGACAATCAGCACAAAAACGGCCATCAGGTAGATGGGCAGGTGTCTAAGTAAAGAAAGTTTAGAGTTTCTAGAATTTCTTTTTACCTACTTACTTTTTGGACCAAGTCTCTCCTAGCTGGAGTTCCTCTTTACTGGAGGCGGCGTCTGTCATGCAAAGTTTTGCATAAAAAATTGGCGGCAGGACAAAGGCGAGCAGGGTGACGGTGCTGCCGCCGATCAGATCGAGAATCTGGCCAAAATTTGGGAAGGACAGTCCAATCACCACAACTAGGAGAAAGATTGCAGTGCGAAAGACGCAGCGTTTCCAGGTGAAATCTAAAATGCAACAAAAAAAGTTTGCAAATACAAAAAACTTAAATCTTTTAAGCTATTTACGTTTTGGCACCCGACAAAGCTCCTCCAAATCCAAAAACACCGGAGAAATCACAATCAACACCACAGTAAAACAGTGCACCAGAAAGCAGACTTCAATCAGGCGGACCACCGGCCCGGGAGGCATGTTCTCAATGATGTTGGCGTGCACCTGATACCCGTAGGCAGCATACCCGAGCCCCGCCGCCGGAATGTACAGAAGCAGCAATCCGGCAAAACCAAAAACTACTGCCAGCGGAAACTGCTCCTTCCGCTTCATGTCCATCTGAAAGGTGGGAAAGGCGGAGGCGCCGCCAAAAGCGAAGAGAATTGCCCCAAAAGCGGTGCTAAACGACTGGTAACTTTCCAAATGGAAATCCGTTGCCAGTCCGGCACCGGTGCTCATCTCGATGATGAGGGCAATGATTAGCAGAATTGAGCCAACGGTTGTAGAGCTCATAGCGGCGTAGCCGATTAGCCAAAAGTCGGCCGGCGATCCGAGGAAACTTAAGGGTAGCAACAGTACCGCCACAATGGGAATCCACTGACAGAGGCTCTGAGGAAGTGGAAGTGCACTGCTAAAAGTTTGCGTCAGTGAGAGGAGGAAACCTGAGGTGAGAAGGAGAAAGACGGCCGTCGCACCGATACGGGTCACGTTCATCAGCGTCGAGACGATGGCGCTGAAGAACGTAAAAACGTTTAAGTAAAAAATAAAAACAAAGAGTATTTTTGAACCTCATAAAAGGACCAAAGGCGTGGTGGGCAATGGTGGCGTATGGTTTCCGTGAAAGGCCAGATTTGTACTTGGCCGGATAGCGCTCTTCGAGCAGTAGCCAAGATTGGGCGAGACAGAGGCCGGCAATGCCAGCGCAGGTCGCACAGTAGACGATCATGCCGAGGGCCCACCAGCTGGCCTGGGCGGTGGCGTGCGCCAGAGAGAGGATGCCACCTTTGGTTTAAAAAGGTTAACAAAAAATGTTTGAGTGATTATCACCAACCTCCTGCCACTTCGCCGATGATAAAGACGGTTGCTGTTGCAACGGAGAAGCCACGACCACTACCACCGCCTTCATCACTTCCAGTGTTCAGTGATTTGCTGCTGACCATTACAATGAAGAATAGAACTCTGGTTTACAAAAACTTTGGCTAATGTTGATGATAAAAATGAAGAATATCTGGGAGATGATGGTAATACTAATTCTAGTACTGCCTCCAGCCAAAAACTGATGCAAAGTGATTTTAAGATTAAAAAATCTGAGATCTAGACTGCGCACCTTTTTACTACCACTTCTGGTATCGCTGACACCACTACAGCAGCTCCACCTTTAGCTTGACCTTAGCTTACATCTGTGCTGTGCTTGTGTAAACCAACCAACCAGAAAAACTGTCCACTGCTTGCGCCACCCAAAATCCTCTCTCTTTTTTACTTTCTCCAGCACTAAACTGGCTGATTCACTCACCTGTTGTCAGTTGCAGCACTGCTAAGCACCGGAGTGACCTTCCTTCAAACTCTCTTTTCCATCTTTTTCTCTTCTCTTCCCTTCAAATGTAAGCAAACCTTAGGCTGCTAATTAGCATAAAAAGAAGCAGCAGAAGCAGTAGCACCTCTATTCACATTAAATGGCCGGCGTATGCAAATTAGCCCACCAAAAAACACTATCAATAAATCACACACTGCCACTACTAATGTTATAGATCAGTGAGTATACTCTTTTTCAAGTTTGTTATCACATGACTTTTTAATTAATAACAACGTGGTTATTGTTAGTACAGAGATAATGGCCTTGAAAACATTGAGATCAATTTCCACTATCCTCATCTTTCAGGACAGTGCAAATTTCTTCATTTTTTTAATTAATGGAAAGTTATGACAGTGATCATTTAAATGCCATTTCTGGTCTGGCACCATTTGGACACTGTAAACTTCCTCCGCCTCGGGCTTCTCGAGCAAAGCGAATTTTTCGTCCCGTTGTCAGAGAGTTTAAAGAAACAAAAAACTCAAAAAATCTTCACTAACAAATGAATTAAAAAACACGCAAATTAACGTTTTTACAGGTTCACCACCATACCCTTAAGGTATTCCTGCACGGCAAAACACTCAGATCGGTAGCTCT